CAGAGAAAGAGGCTACGATCGCTGTCTCCATTTTTGTAACAATAATGTCTTTTTTCATTTTCCCCATTTTAATTAGCATTTTTTAAAACATTTTAATAGCATTGTTATGCTATATTAATTACTAGTATATTTATCATACTGCACTTTTTCGTATTTTACGTAGTATATATCTGAAAAATAAAAAGTGGATGAAGCTGAATTCTGGCTGTAAATTGCAGTAATAACTTGGGTCTTCTATTTAATTTGGTGGTTTCCCTTTTTTCTCCTAATGATGAATCTCTTTTAACTGTTATCTGGCCTTATAAGGGTAATTCTCTTTTTATGAATCAGCTTTCATTCTTAACATCTAAGTCACCATAAAAAATTATATCATTACATACATGTAATTCTGAAGGAATGGGATTAGAAATAAAAATTAGTTAAAATGCACTTCTTTCTGTAATAAATAATGTGAATAAGATGTTAATATAACAAAGGTACAAAAACATATTCACCAGGGTCGCATTCAGAACATATCAAATGTTCTCAAACGCATTCATTCGGAAAACGAGACTGATTTTGCAAATGCTTGAGTTTAGTAATTTTTATAATTAGGGAGCAGCCCAGTGGTAACTAAAAACATTTCATAATCGTTCTTTTATCATTTGTCTTTCTCTCGCCATAATTTAAATGGAAACTTTCAAAAATTTATTGACAACATTCATCCTAGATATGTTAACAATAGAGTTTCTCAAAGAAGGGTGGGATTCTTTGTGAATTGCTTCAACACTATGAGCAGGAGGCTTACTGTTAACTCTTTCGCATCGAGCGAGGGCAAAATCTCTTTTCTCCAAATATCGAAAACGCCCGTGTTTAAGAATTTCTCCTGGAATCCTTTTCCTTCCCCCATGACAAATTGAATAGTACAGCTCTAACAATAACCTAAAGTGAGAACTTTCTTTGACACTTTCACCCTGTGTGAAGTTTCCCCCTTGAGACAGGATTGCAACTTCGGGCATCAAAAGCTAAACACTGACAGTAAACAAAGGAAAGAGAAGGTGCATTAAAATAATGGAACTACTTTTAGTAGCTTCAAAGAATGATCGACATGTCATTTAACAACACCTGAAAGCAATGAGTAATGCAGTAACGTGATGGGGGAAAGCAGTAGGTAGGAAATTATTTGGGCGTTCAGCCGATGTCTGAATGCTCGGGCGTTTGGGGCGATATCGATGCAAAAGAGTTAAAGCAAAACCTAATTTCTTTATATCTTGTCCATTGAAGAAATATTTAGAAATAGTAAAGTATTCATTATGCTTTAATTACTTTTAAAAATTCTGTACATTTACATACAAAATCAGAAAAGTTTTCCATAGTAAATGTAGTCTGTGATGTCAAGGAAGGAAAGCATTTAATTGTAATGGTAGTTTAGATGAGATGTAACAAATAATAGTCAAAGGAATAATTTTTGTTTTTTTTATTCATTTTTTTAAAAAATTTTTTATAGCTGCTCCCTCAATTCATTATAAAACCTTTAATTCATATCAGTAAGATACATTGGGAAAATGCTACGAGTTTAAGAAATCTGAATATCTTGCCAAATTCTGCAAATAATAGTATGAAACTGTATTTTACAATCATTATTATATTAGTTAGGATTTTTACTTTACAAAGACTATAGAAATCTTTTGTCAGACCTTTCCACTCAGCATTTGAGCTGGTTTATAAATTTCTGTATTGTAATTTTAAGGAGCTATCATTGAGATTGGATATTTTAAGGTTAATAATTTAGGAAATATTTAATAGTTAATGTATTTCAGTATACTGTATGCATGCTTTAAAATAAACCTCCAGCTGGCATGTAGCAATTCCAAGGGAGTAAAAATTATTACATTTTACTTCTTTACAAAGTTTATTGAATGTAATGTTTATCTCAGTATTGTGTTTTAATGTGTTGAAGATATATATATGTATATTCCTTTTTTATTAACAAAAAGGTACTAATTTCTTTACGAAAGTGGCTATAAAAGCCGGCAACTGATAAACTTGAAAGATGTTATGTGTGAATTCCTGGAATCTGATCATAACAAATTTTTTACCATGCTAGTTGGAGGCAAAATAAGCTTACTTTACGTAAAATGTAGTAGTGAATCATATTTAAAATAGATGTATCAATGCCTCATTATCCTCACAGGGAGTTTTATAAGCTCTCAAATAAAGGAAGATTGTGTGAATGTCATTTCTATTATCTGTGGCATTTCTATTTAGCCATGGTCTTCTAAATGCATTATTTAGTTTGATATGTAATTGATATGAAAAAATAATAAATTAGAGCATATCACAAGTAAATTTTGAACTATGCAGTTTTACTGCTTTTCCTACTCTTGATAAGGAATATAGGTAGACTCCAAGGGTCATTGCCAAACTTAACATGCTATTCTGTCTACAAACAAGATTTACATAGAAATTTGTGTTTGAAAACGTGATTGCCGACCGCTACAAGGCAATGGTTGCAGACTTACGGGCAAGTGGGAAGCATGATCATTTTAGGCGAGAACATTACAGGAGAAAAATGAATCGATTCACTACTCAGTTCTTTATGGAATGTGACATTTTGTGGAAAGAGTGCTGGATCTGATGGGTGACATTCCAGCAGCTATATGCCAAAACATCCGGTTTCATCATGATGGAGTGCCTATGCATTTTAGCAGCAGTGTGTGGCAATGCTTTGATAGAGCATATCCTGATCGTTGGATTGGCAGAGGCGGACCAATCATATGGCCACCGCTATCCCCCGATCTGACTTCCCTGGATTTCTACCTGTGTGGACACATGAAGTTGATGGTGTATGAGATGACAGAAATATTGGATATGGATCTCATCGCCAGGATCATAGAACTGGTAGCATGTGTCCATGACATATCTGTTTTGAATGTGCCCATGAATCCATGCATCGAAGCTGTGAGGCATGCATTGTGGCTAATGGAAGGATTTTTAACATCATCTGTGATTTAACCATATTAATAAAAGTCATATTAACACCTCTTTTGACATCCTTTCCTTCCCTATATGCTTGCGAACATTGCCCTGTAGCAGTCGCCGTTCACATTTTCGGACACAAGTTCCTATGTAAATCTTATTTGTCATGGTATGACAGACCAACATGTTAAGTTTGGCAACAATCTTTTAACACTCTCTGTAGACATCTCCCTTGTGGCAATGATTGCTCATGAATATTCAAAATCTTTTATCTACATAATATTTTAGCACCTAAAAGTGATATTAGATATTTTAAGATTAATTTTGAGTCTTTGGTTCCCCCCTTACTCCTTTGAATGTTTTGCTAAGTTTCTACATATAACATATTTTGTGGAAATATTTACAGATTAGAATTCTGTTAAGTTCTTCCCTTCTTTCTTCTTCAGAAAGGGGGATTACGGAAATTTGCGAAAATATTTTTACTTTTGGAAAAAGAGAGACCTGACTGATTACTTTCAAAATCTTCACCAAACTGCAGTCATTTTTTTGCCTAATTTAAAATTTTACATTGGCATGCTTCTGTTCCATTTATATGAATATATACGAGGGCCATCCAGGAAGTAGATTACGTTTCCGTCTGTGTCCGCTAGGGGCGGGGCTAGCGCGGCCATCTTGGGGTCAGAGCGTTGCGCAGCTCAGTCTGCATCTAGCCGTGCTAGTGAGAGGTTCGTGCTGTGCTCCGTTCAGATACTGTGACGGTTTGAAATGTCTGCGTTAATTGAAAATCCCGTGAGCTGCGAGGTGCGCTCAGTAATAAGGTTTCTGACTGCAAAAAACTGTAAACCGATAGAAATCTATCGGCAGCTTCGTGAAGTGTATGGGGGACAACATTATCACTGAAGGTGGAGTGCGTCAGTGGGTCATAAGATTTCAAAATGGCCGAACCAATGTTCACGACGAAGATCGAAGTGGGAGACCCAGCATAGTGACCGCCGAACTTCTCGAAAAAGTCGATGCTAAAGTCCGTGAAAATCGAAATTTCACAATAACGGAACTTTCTTTGAGTTTTCCACAAATTTCGCGAAGTTTGTTGCACGAAATCATCAGCGAAAAGCTTGGTTACCACAAGTTTTTGTGCAAGATGGATTCCAAAAATCTTGACAGAGGACCACAAAAATCAGCGAATGGCTGCAGCGTTGAACTTTTTGGACGCTTACCATAAGGATGGTGACTCTTTACTCGATCGCATCGTTACTGGTGACGAAACATGGGTGAAAAACATGTGAACTGTGAAACGAAAATTGCAATCAATGCAGTGGGGGGCACACAAGTTTCTCCCCAAAAAACCCAAGAAATGCATGCAAACAATGTCGGCAAGGAAGATGATGGCGACTGTTTTTGGGACAGAAAAGGTGTATGTAATTTTGGTGGACTTCCTGGAAAGAGGCACTACAATAAACTCTCAAAGGTATGCCAAACTCTCCAAAAACTCAGAAGAGCAATTCAAAACAAGCGCAGAGGAATGTTGAGCTCTAAGATCTTGTTGATTCACGACAACGCCCGGCCCCACCACGGCAAAGTCACTCGTAAAGTTCTTGAATCTTTTAAGTGGGAGTTGTTTCCTCATCCGCCGTACAGTCCCGACCTGGCACCGAGCGACTTCCACCTATTCCCAGCAATGAAGAAGTGGCTGGCTATGCAGCGTTTTGATGACGACGCACAGCTGTAAGAAGAGGTAACGAAAGTGGTTGAAGGCGCAGGCGGCCGAATTTTTCGACGAAGGAATTTCCAAGCTCGTACATCGCTACGATAAATGCCTTAATTTGTATGGTGACTATGTAGAAAAGTAGTATTTGAGTGTGGCTTTCATCTGTATATAATAAAATTTGTTTCCTATACTTTGTTTATTTTTTTATTCCAAAACGTAATCTACTTTCTGGATAGCCCTCGTATTAAAATCTGTGATTGTTTTAAATTCAAATAATGTGTGGATTCCTTATATAAGTTGTATACATAAAGAATACATTTTTCTTTCATTATAGGAGAACATTTGTGTATATGTTTTATGTTGCTGATACAGTTGAAGAAAGTATTTTCAACATGAATTCTTCATTCTGTGTTGAAAATGAGATGCTTGAGACTGTGAACGATTTGAAAAAACTATTTGAGTAATGGATATTTTTATATTTGTGATAATTAAATATCTGAGTGTTGTAAATCATCTCCCATTACATTCATATCTTGTTCATATCTTGTACAGTGCATTGTGTGTTAAATTCATATAGATTTTAGTGCATTTTAATGCAGAACAGATAAACTGAAGCAGTGATAGGCCTTTAGCTATGAACTAAAGTCATCTCTGTTTAATGAAACTCTTCTGTTTCAATTAATGATTTCTTTTATGATAAGAAAAAATTATCAAGTCTTGTTTGTGGAAGATCCTGTAATCAAATAGTAAAGATTTTATATGTATTTAACATTTATATATGTTCTATTTCTGAAGTACAGTTATTCAACAAAAATATAGCACAAAAGCCGAAATCCGAACGTACAATATCCAAACCACCATTTTTTTTAAATCAAGTTTTAAATGAGGAATATAATACTAAAAAAAAAAGTCCGTGAAAGCAATTTTTCTGTGGACGAACTGAACTTTCATGCATTTGCTGGCTAGGGAATAACAGTATGACCAATAACAATACATTGATTGACATTACCTACAACCACTTTTTTGGCACTTGAGTGGTTGTGGAGTGGGGAGTTACTTCCTTTAATCTGGTCTAAACAATAAATGAAGCTCTAAGAGGTATTTGTTTGAGGAGTGATGTTGCTCATACCTTTTTTTTTTTTTTTTTTCTTGTTTGTTCCTCATACTTTTTTATTGTTGGTTTTTGTACCTTTTTTTGAAAGAATTAGATTCCAAAGAACTTAATTTCAGTTAACTTAGCAAATTGTGCTCTTTGTTAATTTTCTAATTTTCTTCATTATTTCATAAATAACTGATGTTTGATATTTTTAATGTTATAATTTCTACATGTCATTATTAGATTTAAATTGATTATCTAAAATCTGGACCCTCTAAATTCCTGACGATTCCGGATCTCGGGCTTTGTTCTGTACTAAAATTCAAGTGTTTAAAAATGAAAGCTGAAGGATTTAAAACTGAAAAATTGTTTTTTGTATTTTTCTAAAATTAAGATAGTATAATTTTGAAACTGAACTGTTAGTGCAGAGAACTGTTAGCATTTCCCAAACTTGTTGCATGGTTGCCTTTGTTTATTTTAAATATTTCTTTTTAAATGTATAAAATGTATAGTATTTCTAGCTCAGTAAGTTTTTTGTCAGTATCTGAAGATTTATAAATTGTTTATGTAAAAATTCTTTATTGTTACCAATGTGTAATGAAGTAATAAATTAAAGAATGTTACACATTTGTAAATCACAAAAGAATGTCACTGAATTACATTAAAAGATTGAAAAAATCAACATGAAATCATTGTAATTTATTTTTCAACTCACTTTCAGGAAAGGCTGTTAACAATCCCAAATTTTAAAATCTTAATGATAAATATCTAAATGAATTTTTGTCATAAAAGAGTAAAACTTTTTTTTTTTAAAAAAAAAAAAGAAGGAATATAATTTTTTACTAATTATGACTGTAGAGACTATGGGACCATATAAAAAGGTAGCTTTTATAACACTCTGCAACATTAGCAGCTGTGAAAATAAAAACTGCATAAGAAAATTTTTGTCCTTGCCCATCAAGCTTATCCTCATGTTTTAATTAGTGCAAAGTTTAAGCCAGTTGCATTCTTTTGCTTACACATTCACCAAACATGGAAACTTATTATATAGCCACCATATTTCCAGTTTGAAAATCCTAAATGTGAACCTTTTTTTAAGCATTCAGATGTTTGTTGTGATGGGCGATTCCTCTCTGACCATTCTGAACACATTTTTTTTTTTTTTTCTCTCTCTGTTTAAGTGTGTGCGTGACGTGCTGTATTTTTACTGTTAATTGAATCAAAAATTATGGTTAGACATTTTCTTTAAGGATGGCTGAATGTAGTGAATCATTTTTTTGTATTAAAAGTTAATGAAAATATTTCATAAAACTACTTTTAAATATTCATAAAGTACATGCAAAACCTACACGAATTTCATGTTTTAGCTTGAGTTCTATGCTCATAGATTAATGAATAAATCCATTGAATTCCAAAGTCCTGAAACATTTAAATTACCAAACTACAAAAACTTTAAACTTTGAATGTTTGGAAAATAAAGTTGCCATTATCAGCCGCCTTTTTTGAAAATCTATGAATCTGTGGTTATCTGACATGAATATATGTAATTTGGAATTTATATGCCACTGATGTGCAGTCATCATTCTTACTCTTGCTTTCCTTCAGTTCACATAAGGGATACTTAAACTGTAATGTAGAGCTTTCTCTCTTTTTTTCTTGTTTATAAAGCTTTTAAATTCTAAGTAAGCAATCAAGATGCTTTTATTGGGATATTTTGAGTGAAAGAGTTTCAATTATTTGTGAGTACATTCATGAAATTTCATACGTATGCTGCAGAGATTTATTTCAAATAAAATATAAACCTTTATATACAAACGGTTAAAAAGTTTTTTTCTCAGATGCATAAAAGAGACAAATAATTTAATTAAATAATATAAATGCTATGTAATTTGTAAAAAAATAGTTTCATTTTATTTCTTACCTCTCTATATAAGCATATGCATTTAAATAGACCATACTGGGGTGTTATTCTTTCAACATTTAAAAATTTTTAAAATACGGTGTTGAAGTATTTATACATTAAAAGTGTATTACATATTTTGTTTTGGTGAAAAACATGTTTATTCATGAGTGTGAATGTCTACATGTTGTACTCTTTGTACCACTTTTCTTAATTAATGTATAATAATTTCAAAAATATTGAGTAAATGTGATTACAAATTTATGTTGTTATGTTTTAACAGTAAACACTTGCTAAATTGATTAACTCTGTTTATAATGTGTATATGAAAGATTTAATGTTTTATTTTAGCTTGTGCCCTCTTCTCAAGTTGTCTCTGTATATATGTGCATCTTTTTGAATAAATAAAATGTACAAAAATTTTGTATATTGAACTATCAAAGTAAAGTTTTACCTTTCCCAGTTGGCTTTTGTGGTTAATTTATAGCTAGCATTTGTATCATATCTCATTTAGAATTGATAAGCTGTTGGCAAGTATTTATTTTTTTATATTTGTTTTGAATCGTATCAAATTGAAACTTAATTCATAATGTAAATTTATTTGTTTTGATTTGCTTATGAGGCTTGGAAATGGTAAAATGGAGATTGATATGATTGGTAATTGAGGAACACGCTCATACTGAAAAGCTTAGCTTCAAATCATATTGTACACTCTTCATCAATAGGGTTTAAAGGAAGTTTTTCTGCAAAAGTGTAATATAGAAGTAGCTTAGTAAACTATAACAAATGGGTGTATTTTGTGTAGAATAACAAGTTTCGTACAGTCCTTAATTTTGGCCAAAACCACTAAAAGGCTCTCAGTTTTACTCATGTGACACTTTTTTTTAAACGACTGCCATTTAAAGTGGGAATTAACATTTTGGAAATTTTTCTTTTATTACGCTGCACCAAATTTGGCTACTTATGAACATTTTGCCGATTTCAAAATCAGTTTGTATACAAAATTTTTTATTCAGAGATTTTGATTTTGAAATTTTGACTATTATTTTTGCAAACATAACACTGATAATTATAATAAATGAAAATTGTGTTTAAGAACTAACATTAAAATAAATCATTTTTATTTTCTCTTGCCATATTTTTTAAAGTGACATTACTTTCTATTTGGGTTACATAAAAATATTTGTTTCTGAGAAATAAACAAGACAATAAATGCTATAAACCACAGTTTTGGAAGAGCGTCAGAAAAAAAAATGCTATTGTAATTATTTGAAAATTAATATCATTTATCTCTTATATATATATATATTCATGTTAAGAGTTTTTTCCCATGTAATTGTTTCAGCATATTTACGAGTAAATATGTATCAGTTTTCTGTTGAAAGTTCACTTTATATTTCTTTTTTTTTTTTTTTTTTTTTTTTTTTTTTTCAAAAATTGTCTGGCTTTTTGCTCTTACAGAGTTGGGAGGGATAATTTTTCTTTTAGATTTTAGACCTTGTACCTGAAAAGGTCTAAATGCAAGATTTATAGATTATTATTTTGAAAACAAGATTTCTAGACTTAATATTTCCAGAAAAATGTGATGAAATGAAAAGTGTCTTCATGGTTAACACATAATAGATGTGTTTTATAGGAAATTTGTGATGAATTAGTTATATTTTGGATAATTTTTGGAAGAGCAGCGAAAGGGAAAAGTATTTTAATTTTCTCCTTTTGATCCCAGAAATCTTTAATATGTTTATCTTCTCTTTATTTTCTTATCTTTCCGAGACACAAGCATCAAAGAAAGCAAAAAAATTGAAAACCAACAGTTAATTAAAAGGTTCAGTGCACCATATGTATTTCAATGCCTGTCGTAAATTATAAAAATTTTCTCTAAATTTTGTTGCTCAGTGGTTCAGTTAAATCTAAAAATTCTGCCAACCTTGCTAAGACATGGCTCTTGAATATATATCATTTCATATTTATTTTCAATACTCATATTATTTAAGAAATATGATAAGCAGTTTCTTCTTTACATTCTAAGTACAAGCAGTTCTAATAAAAGTGTTTAATGAAATCTGAAAGTTGTATAATGAAAAGGAAATTCATTGAAAAAGAAATTGGTTTTATAAAGAGAGAGAAAATTATTCTTCAAATCTACATTGTTATAACATTAACAAGTTGAGTGATACAGCAGTAGAATATGCTGCTGTGTTATGTGAAAGAAAATCCTGTTTTTTAATAGGAAAGTTAACGCAGGAATTTAGAGCTAAGAAATAAAGAGTGATATGGGATACCACGAAAGCAATGGTAAATACACTCATGTCCATAAATTAAGGATAATGCAAAATCAGGCAAAGGAAGAGCTAGAAGCAAAATAAATTTGACTTATTTGTAAAGCTTATTTATTAAAGAAACAGTAAAGAGCAAAAAAAGATGCGATATGTTTGATATTATTAAAAAAATTAGCGATTTTTTCTCCCTGGAGCAAATTACAAAAAAAAAAAAAAAAAAAATACCTATTTACAAATAAACAATATTACATGGTTGGTATGATTGTTAATACATTGTATGTCTCCCAGACGATGCAATACGGTCTGTACAACGCTTAGGCATGCTGAGTATCAAATTATCGATCTGATCTTGGGGGATATTACACCACTCAAAAAGCAATGCTCTCCGAAGTTCCGGTAGACATGTAGAAGGAGGTTGACGGGCTGCAACTCGTCAGCCAAGCATGTCCCACACGTGCTCTACTGGATTCAAGTCCGGTGAGAATGCTGGCCAGTACATACGGGTGATATCCTCCGACTGAAAGCATTCGCTTACGATGTTTGCACGGTGAGGACGGGGCGTTGTCATCCATAAACACAAATTGTGCGCCCATGGCGCCCCGAAACAAACGTACATGTTGTTCCAGAATGACGTCCCGATAGATTTGGCTTGTCATGGTTCCAATTTGAACATGCAGATCAGTTCTGGAACCCAGAATAATTCCACCCCAAACGAGAACTCCTGCACCACCGTAACGGTGTCGTTCAATGATGTTTTCTTGGTGGTAACGGGTACCTGGAGCTCTCCATATGAAAGTCCGGCGAGAATCAGACCGCAAGCTAAACCTGGACTCGTCGGAAATCATCACACAAGCCCACTGTTGCGGTGTCCACAATGCATACTCTCTACTCCAGGCTAACCGCAGGCGACAGTGAGTTGCAGTAAGTGGAACGCATCTGACAGGTTGTCTGAGCATATAGACCAATCTGCCCTAAGCGTCTGTACACGGTCTGCCTTGAAATTGTCGTACCTGTGACTGAAGAGAGCTAACAAGACAGGTCTGAGGCTGTGCTCTGCCTGTTTCTTTTGGCAGTAACTGCCAAATACCGGTCCTCATTCGGCGTTGTATCTCTGGGGCGCCCTGTGCTGTAACGTCTGCTCGCATTACCATCATCTTGGAATCGTTGCCAAAGCCTGGAGATGACACTCTGGGCAATTCTAAGTTCGTCTGATACTTCCAAAGTTGGAAGTTAGCGTCTTTCTTTAGCGCTGTAGGTCGACATTTTGTCGCTCCGTCTTCCAAGTCCTTTTCAGCGGATTACTTCAGTCCACACTGCCAAAAGTAACATCAACGGAAGTGCATTACGTAAGGAACATAACAATACCAAATTTTCGATGCTGTGATCATTAGTTCCTGTTTAATTAATTTTTTCAAATATTCGTAATATCTACCATTCACCGCGGACTTTCATTAGAGCTTAGAAGCCCCTGGAGAAGCCCTTGCTTTCTCGACGTCTAAGTGTCTTACATCAATATACGCACGACATCCTGAGGAATAATTTGGTGCAAGTTTCAAGTGAATCGGTCGATTAGTTAATTAATTAAGAGCAAAGCGTATTGGTTTTCGAAACGTTGCAAGCACACTGAAGCGTGAGTCATCGCATACCTCAGCGACCGTTGACGACGGTTAACACAAGGAAGCTCCCCTTCCCCACAGCAACAAAAGGAACTGAGAGTTTTTAAGTATCTTCATAACCCTGCTAATTACATCGTATCTTAATAGTACCAGAACGCAAGTGATTTTCATCTCCTGAATCGACACAAGATTCCAAATTTCAAGTTAATCGGACAATTAGTTGAATTTTTACAACTTTTTTGCCTAATTTTCGGACTTAGCGACCGTTAACCAAAGAAAGAGAAAGTTGCCTCCCTCGGCAATACAAGGTACTTGAAGATTTTAATTAATTCAATTACTCAACTAATTAGCATCGTACCTTCACAGAGCCATGTCTAAAGTCGATCTCATCGTTTGCGCGACACAAGTTTAAAAAAAAGAGGAAAAAAAAAAAATTGAGAAAATCGGTCATTTCTATAGTTTTTTTTTAATAACTATTTCTAACGAATTTGTGCACTTTAACTTAAGTGCCTCATTAATTAGTGCCTGGAGTTTTCTTCGTGTTTTAGTGTTGTGCTTGTGTTGTGCCAGTGTTTCAGCTTTGTGCGATCAACAACAACGCTTATTGGATTCCAATACACAGTGTGTTTCTTCAGCTTACTTGTGTGTTTCTAACTTCTTGTGTATTCCTTACTGTATTACCATTATACTTACAAGCACAAAAGAACAGATGAAGTTTTGTGGCCAAGGTATGCGACTATTTACATACATTTAATTACGCTGTCAGCTAGTTTTAATTATCTCAATTTTACCCAGAATCTTGGAATTTCTTCTCAAATTGCCTTAATAATGATTATGCTTACTTTCATTCAAATTTTAAATCTATGTGTTTATATTACATCTAAGTATTTTTGACAATATAGTTCTTTTGCTGACAACTTTAATTGGTTTATTAGGACACAACTCATCTATCCAGTATTATTAGCTTTATTTCATTACCTTACCATTATTAAATCATTATAAGATTTTTTTATGTAATAATTAGCTTTGTAACTTTTCAATATAGCAAATTGAATTCCCATAAGCTAGTTCTTGCATAGTTGAAATTACGATCTGACTGGTCCTTGTGTAATTAGCGTTAAGTTTTGCAATTTAGTCTTTTGTATAGCCTACCTGTTTCTGTATAAATAGTGTTTATTTTGATCGGATTATCGGTACAAACGCCATTTTCAAGAATTATGCATACAAATGTAATGTCTAAACCATTGCATTAATTGGCTAACTAATTGTACAAATATGTGTGTCCTCAATATCAAAGGCCAGGATTTACTGAAACCATTAGCAATTATAATAGTAAGCAATACTTCCTAATTGACTGTATTCTGGTTAATCTCACCATATCTGATTCTTATATATGAATTAATCCATTCCTTGTCCTTCATATTTGATTTATACCGTATCCAGATTATTATTGATTGTTCTTATCGTTATATGATTGATTTAATCTGTATAGCTACATTTAATTGATTGCCCGCAATTTATTGTTCTTCCCTGTATACCTGTTTCATACCATTCAAACACCCGCAAT